AACTTTATGGAACGAGAAAGGTATACGAGGAGACGGATTCCTCTGGAAGCTTCAATCGGACGACATTGTTCCTTTTTGAGGAATTCAGTGAAGCGGAGACGTGCTAAAAGAACTAAACGAAGTAGAGAAGCGGATAGGACTGCGAATTAACCGGAAGACGAATTATGATGGAATTAGAAAGCTCTCCAACTTCGAAAAAGTCTTCTTATGTATATCTCGGACGTTCGATGAACATGGACAACTATCTGAAAGAAGAAATGAACAGGAGGCAAAGAGCAGCTTGAGCCGCCTTTGGGCTCTTAAAGGAGGCCACACACCACCTGACGGACCCAGAACTCCGAGCCCACCTATTTTATTCGTCTGTTCTCCATGCACTCTACTATGCAGCAGAGACGTGGCTTGACAATATGGCTAAGTCAAAGGCTCTTCGAGCGCTGGGACGACGTCTTCTGAAGTACAACCGACGCACTCTATTTCGTCGGACATCGCGGTTCAGATATGAAATCAATGTCTCGTCTTCGCGATCCTGCGATCTCTAAAGAAAAGCATCGATGGGCTGGTCATATAATGACAAGGACAGAAGAGATGAACACTATGAACACTGGAATGGATCCGCGAAGCAAAGCGTCCTCGAGGGAAGCCACCAACCAAATGGGCTGACGTGTTCGTAGCACGAATGGAGCAATTGAATTCTCAGCTGGTATCGAGTAATGGATCTGGATTCCGCGAACTCGCCGTCCGTGAAATCATCGATTATTTGTCCGTTCGGATATCTGCGAAATCATCGAACATGATAGTGATGCGTACTTATGTTTAAAGGAAATATTCGAATAATTTGATTATTTGCCATCGGTACGAATATTCGGAAAAATGCACCTACTCCGTTATTCGAATGTTCGAATAATTATGCCCAATTACTCGATAATTCAAATAGCCGAACATACAGTACCTCCACTATTCGAATATATAAATTAGAATATATTTTATGGCGACTCGAATAATATTCACTCCTTCGAATATCTCATTCGAATATTTTTATTATGAACGAATATTCGATATTTGTTCTTAATGAAAATTATTTATTATTATTATGTTCTTTTCAGTGTTTCAATATACTAACAAGAACTCCTTTGTTGTTGTTTCAGGCCGAAGCAGAAGCACGCTTGGCAAGTACGGAAGAAAATGGAATCATCCTTCTAGGCTGCACCTAACAATCATCTATCTTTGATTCGCCACTTTACAAGTACCTTTTCTTCGTGACAAACATCGATTGATTTTGTCGGTTTTCCGCTTTAGTTTCAGAATGCTGGAAATGGTGCATATTGCCATTTCATATTGCTGATTACGAGAATGACAACAACTCTAAGAATACCGACTGACTTCATGTTTGTTCGGAATTTCCATTTTACTGGAATATGCTGCGCAAAAGATGGTTAACGCTGAACGATTATGATATTACTCGGAGCAATATCTACAACTATTTGATTGATTTATTGTTGCGTACTTTAATCTAGGTTGCTAGAATTGATGTAGAGGTTTATGTTGACATAGTGGATAGGCTGCCATTTTTCAAGCCCAGAATTCACCAAAACTTAAGTTTTGCGATGGAACGAATGTTAAACTCTATCCTTCTCAAAAATTCACTTCAAAACTAGAAAATATCGGCTTGAATTCTTTACCAG